TATCTCTGGTGTATGAATCTTAGTTGTAATCTTAGTTGTTCTTTGTTTTGGCTTTCATTGTTCATGTAGGAATTTATATCCTAATCGCAAGAAGGAGCTAACTCTACCTTTATATATATTTTGTAATTTCCCTTCAAACTCGAGTGTCTCAATTTATCAGGAACTCCCTGGTAAGCAATGCGAAGCTGGGAGCCGTGCATCGGAGTAGGAGAGAGATCGGTGATGGTCAGAGGCTTAGGGAGATTATCAATGAGGACAAGATCTAGCGTTTTGTGACGATTAACGGCAGTTAAGTCAGCGTTGCCACTCTTCTCCGTCTCCTGCTGTTGGTTAACGACCTTGCTAGCAAGGATGGCGCAGTCGGTTGGAGCTGACGCCGCCTGAGAAGTTGGACGAGTCGAGGCGGTGGATACTAAATGCTAATACTCGATTCGCCCCTTTCTGGCTTTTCCCTCCCTTCCCTCCTCCTCTGTCTCTCTCGTGCTCAATCACTGGATCAGCTACGATGGTGTTGGGACTGCTTCGTTCTTAATATCTTCTGTTGTCTTCGGGGAAGGGGAAGAAGAGAGATTAGGGTGAGAGAGAGAGGGAGGACTTCGAAAGTCTACCGCCGTTGCAACAGTTATCCCTGCTGCTGTTCGTCTATAAAGTCGGGAAAGTAACAGTATTTTTTTCTGAATAATTATTATAAAGATAATACGGAGGTTAAAAAATATTTATTATAACACAGATTTCAACGAAAGTCTAACGGAAGGAGTTGTCTCACGGTCATAGTACAGGAGTTTTGTCACAAAACAAAATATAGGAGTCTTTATTACCCTTTCACTTTTATCTTTCCGTAGGAATCAATGAGAAGGTTTACTTAAAAAAAGAAGAAATAAAATAAAAGGAAAAATACGGAAACATTTCTGAATTTCAGCCCCCTACTATTAGCCTTCTCCCCTCTATAAACCATATTTTATATGTTAATTTGGCATCAAGTGTGACTATCACTCCCCAGTCCCTACGAAAGGAGAGTAAATTTTTTCAATCTGTTTGAAAGAAGCAAAGGTGTCCAAATTCTAAAGTGACCCTCTTTCTTTCCGGTCAAAACATAAAATGACTTGCTTTAACGAAGCAAAGGGGTAGAAAAGGACGTACTTATTTTTATGCGAAATGTTAATTTTAACCCCTTTTAAAAGTGAGAAGAAGCGAAATGTTAATTTTAACCGCTTCAACTAGACTTCCCAAAAAGTTGATCCAATCCGTCCGTGAACCCGACCCAATCCAACCCAAAAAAAATAGAGTTAGGGTCTTAGTTTTGAGAATGATCTAATTCCACTTATGAAAAAATTGAGTTGGGTTGGATTAGGTCATGGATCAACTCGCTGATCCTGTTAGGCCTAATTGAGATTATTTGTATATTGTTAGAAGTTTCCACTCCTTAATCTTTTTTTTTTCATGGGATTACACAACAGGAGGTAGACCATCCCCCTTTCCCTTAACCTCCCCCCCCCCCCAACCCTTGGTGGCAGGGAGAGTTGCTATTAACTTTTTACCCTTTGAATTATTGAATGTTTAAGTATTTTTATTTTATGTTTTGAATTTCAAGATTGATTTGTTTAATTTAAACATTTTTCATGTATTTTTTCTTTCTTTTTTTGAAATTAAAAAAAAAAACACTTTAATTCACTGTTCATCATATATTATATACAGTGAAATCTTTTTACAAAAGCCTCTAGCGAAGCACTCTAATTCACACTTGTATCCTGTAAAATTTGCTTATAAAAGGCTTTACAAGAAATTGGATGGGTTACCTGAAGTCAGATTTTTAAAGGATGATGATAAAAAATACATTATTTGTAACATGGAAGATTAAACTGTTTACCATTTATTTCTGTATGGACCGGTTAAGCTAAGCTGCTACTTATACTAATTCAGGAGTGGCTCCATACACTTTCACCTCATCTTAATTACAAAGCAAGGAAAGAATGTATACACGGAGCTGTTATTGATTTTCGCTTGATATATATATATATATATATAGGATATGAGAAACAGGAAATTGCATTATGGTCAATCTCCGGATTCCATATGGGTGTGTTAATCAACAACATGGAAGAATCATTTTGGGGTTATAATAACTAAAGAGAAGAAAAATTCAAAAACTTAGGTCCTGTTTGATGATATTTTTGAAAGAAAGTAATTTGTTATGAATAACAATGAACGGACATTGTACATGATGAGGGCAGATTTGGTCCTCCACTAACATCATGACACATGGCATTTCGGAATAAATGGGTGACACCCAGAATCACTTAGGCGACAACTTGCCTTAGCCAAAATGATAGAGTCCCAGGTAGCGACCTGACACTGTCGTCGACATGGTGACTTGCCTCTGGCGCCGACCTGGCAACCTGCCCCTGTTGCCGACCTGGCAACCTGCTTCCACCGCTGACTTGGTAGAAAACTAGCCAACGACCTCGTCCACGACTCAAGGTGGCTAGCAACACCTCGTCTAGGGCCGATCTGTGGTACCTCGTCAGTATTGCCTGAAGTGACTTCAACATGGGGAGTGACCTCCCTCGAGGGCTTGCCGACCTGATTGAGGTCTAGGTGGCGACCTACGAGACGTGCTCATCGTCGATTTCTACATGCATCCTATCACTCCCACGTCTCTCGGAAGTCAGCTCTCACACCAAATGTTTTGGGAGAAATCGAATAAGGTGCAAAGATTGGCCTACGTGCATGACTACCTCTGAGGACTTCGGAGCAGTTAGGCACGTCCTCCCGGAGATCCCGGGCGTGTTGCGTGTTGCTCACGCCAAACAATGCCTATATAAAGGCCTTACCTCCAACTCCATGGGGAGATGCGCTATTTAGTTCTTGCAACTCCCCAGCTCTCTCACATTTTATTATCTTAAAATCTCTTATTCCCTAACTTAAGCATCAGAGTGCCCACCCCAGGTAAAGCAACCCGAGCACTCTGACATTGTTTTTTTGCAGGTCACATCAGAGCCACTTCTCCAGCTCGTCACCAGTCAGCTAGGCAACATAGCCACCTCTCCAACTCGTCACCATTCAGCTAGGCAACAAATCCATCTCTCCAGCTCGTCACCATTTAGCTAGGCATCAGAGCCACCTCTCCAACTCGTCACCATTCAACTAGACACCAGAGCCACTTCTCCAGATCGTCACCATTCAATTAGACATCAGAGCTACTTCTCCAGCTCGTCACCACTCAATTAGACATTAGAGACACATCTCCAGCTCGTCACCATTTAGTTAGGCATCAGAGCCACCTCTCCAGCTCATCACCATTTAGTTAGGCATCAGAGTCACCTCTCCAGCTCATCACCATTCAGGTAGGCATCCAAGCCACCTTCCAGGTAAGAACCATTCAGCTAGGCATCCATACCACATTCTAGGTAGGGATTATTCAGTCAAGCATCCGAATCACCTACTAACCGAGAGCTGCTGAAATGCGCATCATCAATACATATTATAAATAGTGATATTGCCATTGTTAGCATTCTCCTAGACTTCCAAGTGTCATCAACTTCTCCAATTTCCGTTCTCCAATGGTAGATTGTCATACAACTAAGACAATGATTAATGGACCACTTATTCTTGCATGTATTATTCTTATACTTTTTTGCATTTCTCTTAAGTTTATCATGACTTTTTCAAAACCTTTAGAGAACCTTCTATCAGTGGGTTTGCTGTCCAAATTTAGGGGATTGGCTTGGCTCGAATAAACATTTTATTGGAGCCCATTCAAACCCTAACCCATCCAAAATCCACTTTCCATTAAAAGGTTTACATTAGACCACTGTCAGTTATCATTAATAAAAATTAAAAATTGTTTTCAATGATCAAACAACCTCAGATTGATCGATCGATCTTATTAAATATTGTTATGGCAGTAATCAGGAATAATTTTGTCTTGAAAAACATTTAATAAGCTACATTGGCTATTTGAGAGTAGTTTGATAATGTAAAATACTTGAAAATACTTGTATGTAGAGAACTTTTATTAATATTCATTAATGGTAAACTAACAGATGTCTAATAAATAACTCGATAACAGATAATAATAATAGAGGGTTCTGTGTAGGTTTTGAGAGTTTATGGTGAGTTTGAGATGAATGCTAAAAAGTAGTGCTGAATTTTAGATAATATCCCATTATTCTCAAGTCCCGCCCCCTCTTCCTCTTCCATACCACGTCGTCAATAAGTTTCTGCCTAGCGAAAATAAAAACAAAATAATGAACGAGTAGACGCAACTCTTGAATTATTCACTCTGTAGTGTAGACACGACGATAGACGCATCGAAATCAAATTACAGGGGTGAGGGGTGCCGGGTGGGTGACGACTGACCGACTGAAGACTGAGGAGGACCTTACCAGGCAGCAATTACGCGGGATTGAGATTTGAGAGACGCTTGAAACAGCCTATTGCCTATTGGGTCCGGCCCTGCGAATTTGCGATCGCAGTCAACTTTACGTCAATAAGTTCGCCAATCAAGTATTCTCAAGGTTTACGTTACTGTTGTGGTCTGTCAAAGCGCTGAAACTCTCTCTTCTCTCTTCTCTGTATGCGAGTGTGTAATAGAAGAGAAGCTACTTTTTTTGTAAAAACTATACTGCACTTCCCTCCCATCCTTGACAGAGGGGCAATCCTGTCATTCTCGTTTCGGTTCCCCAAAATTTCAAATCGTCCCCCTTTCTTTCTCCGATCGAATTTCGAGAGATTTCACGGATTGTCTGGTCTGGGTTTACTACTTACAACGTCAAGGACAGAACGGAACCTCCAAATTAGAAAAGCAGAAAAAAAAAAAATCAAATTCGAACATTACTGCAACCCAAAAAAACCGAGTGACGAAGAAAAGGACTTGTAGATTAAAAGGGAACCAAAAAATTGGGAAAAAAAAAACACGAAGTAAAGTAAAGTAAAGGAATGCGTACCGCAAACTTATCGAAGCATGCAGGATATAACTAAGGTCCTCGGACCATAACAGATCAAAGAAATTTAGACAAAATCATTCTTTTTCTTTTCAAACAACTCATACAAGGCAAAAGAAACATGTAGAAAGAACTGATTCCCAGCATTTTACAGCGACACATCGATCAGATCACTACCCAGAGGAGAAATTTGGTATTTTTGTTCTCAAATTATTCCGACAAAAATCTTCCCCGCTAAACTAAAGCAGTAAAGCCCACCCCCAAGAAAAGAATGCTGCTTTGCAGCTACATACAATTTTTCGTGTAGGAAAAGAATTAAAAACCAGAACGAAATTAAAAAGTAAAGAAAAACAGGGAAAGAAATTTTGAAAAAAAAAAAAATCTCATACCACTAAGTACAATGCTATACAGCAGAGAGCAACAGCAACGGCGGTTCTTTGTACGCCAGTAACGGCTGCACCCGATCGGATCTCCTCGCGTAAACCTGGAGAAGAGGAGAGATGGGTCGGTGGGATCTCCAGAGAAGGTGAATTCTCTGGCGAAAACGATATTTCTGGAGGCGCAGCTCCCACCCCTGCATTGCCACTCCTCGTCGCCCCAAGGGCTTCCCTCCCAAAAATCTCTCTCGGCAATAAAACCTTCGAAACTGCAAAGATGGAAACTGGGTTTTGATCAAAAACTGTCTGGGTTACGGACGCCTGAACGATCCCCGTATCAATCGCCACCGACCCATTAACCCTCGTAATATTCAATGTGAATGTCCCAGCACCCATGGCTTCCGTCGCTAAAGTAGGTTGCACAGGATTCACAATCGACTCCAGCGAACCCAATGGATAGTAAGAATGCAGAACATGGAACTTCAAGACCACAGCTTTTCTCTCGGCGGGCAAGGATTGCAACCTCTCAGTCGTCGAAAGATCGGCAAACGCGTCGTCGGTCGGAACGAACACGGTTATCCCCGCCCCACCTTCATCCGCCTGGAATTCCTCCGCCACCCCGGACGCCGTAAGCATTGACGCCGCGACGTTAAAATTGTGCCCATCGATTAGAACCCTAGTAATGTTCAGCCCCAACGGGGGCCGGTTCTCTGACGCCATTAAATCGAATCCGTAAGGGACGAGGAGGGAATTAATGGTGAAGATGCTAACATTGTAAGGAAGGGTCTTGATTAGAGAGAGAATGGTGGCATTTAACGGAGAGTAGGAAACGGGGGAACGAATATAGACAGTGCCGTCAAGGGGGTCACGTGTGATGTTAACCGCGCCGAGGTTGTTAGTGGCCCGGCCGGTGGTTTGGTAGAGGGTTGTGACAAGCTTTCCGGCAGGGGGAATCTGGCGGAGCTCCGACCACGAGAGATACTGGAGGAGGACGTGATACCGTATAACATCGGCAATGTTGGCGGGGGAGGATCTATGTGTCAGATCAGAAGAGGAGCGGAGGAAGTGATTTGGGACGGCCAGGAGAGTGACAGAGGACCGGCGGTTCAGATCTTCAGCGACGGAGGTGGTTGTGAGGAGGTTGTTGAAGTCCGAAAGATCAGGGTAAACGGAGAGGAGGGTTGTAATGTTGAGAGCGACAATGGGGGAAGAGGGGGAGAGAAGCAAGTACGAGACGATGAAAAGGGTAAATTTGGAAATGGTGAATTTAGCCATTCTTTTCCTCTCTGCAGAGTTGAGGGTAGAGAATAAAGTGTGTGTGCTTGTGTGTGTCACTGTGTCTGGGAGGAAGAGAGAGAGAGCAGCGAGCGAACGAGCGAGCGAGAGAGAGAGAGAGAAAGAGAGGTGTGAGCTAGCAGAGGATTGGATGTGAACCTGTGAGGGAATGCTGCTGATGATGATGCATGATTGTTCAAGATGCTGATGGAAATATTATTTTTCATATTTATATATTGTAAAATGAGATATGAGAATATAATATTTCTTCAGGAATACTGCCATGCAACGGATTAATACAACTCTTCAGTCTTCATACAGATAAGATGGAATCCGTCGAAAAGTAATGTCCAATTTCGTCTTTGTAGTATTTCATGTGCAGGTCCCACATGTCTCTAGGGCGAAGAACAAGAAGAGTTGCACAAAGTTGCTTTTCACTGAAAATTCCTTATGTTCTTATTTTTTTACGTTTCTTTTATCCTCTTGTTGTGGGTCCGGAATCGTACGATCAAGTCATCAAGCTAGGCTGTTAGACGGGAGTTACGACAAGAAACATCTGTGATAGAGCTGTCTGCATAGGGCAACTGGCAACGGACACGTGGTCCGAGATCGTAAGTCTTCAGTCCTTGAAGACAAATGCCGTTCGATCTCCTTGGATTTACGAAACGTGCCACTGTTTTGAGATATAATATCCGACCACGTGTCAAAGTCTAGGCCATTCTGAGTTTTTCTTTTTTTTTTTTTTTTTTTGTGGGGAGGTGGGTGGGAGGAGCCAAGCCCAAACCCTTGCACCTGTAACCATTTTAATACATCAGGCCAAATAGGTTTATCTAAGATTGAGCGTATCATAATTTAACTTGAGCTATAGGCTTAGATTGGACAGATTCGATCTGTGGCTTAATTTGGACTCGGACCTAAACCCTAAGTTTTAGTATTGGGCCAAGTTGACCTTACATCCCGCTCCAACTTGTCCAGGTTCCTTCCTTGGCTGTCAAATTAATCAGATATTGGCATATTCATATTTGTTTTATTTATATTTGAAATGAAAAATAATCAAAACCGAGGTTGAAAGTACCAACGTGTATGTGTAGTTGATACATATCATGCTGATGGATTTTTAATACGTTCCTCTATGGGTTGTATCGGGTGAGACCATTGATGAAGGAAGATTTGGCCCGATCTCGCAAATCACGCTACGTAGCAAAAAACAAGTAGTTCGGTACTTAAAACAGCATACCGAAGGTACAAAACACCAAAGGGGAGAGACCAGCGATCCGAACTCCCCTCGAGGAGACCGAACTCCCTAAGAGGAGCCCGAAATCCCTACGAGGAGCCCGAACTCCCTAAGAGGAGATCGAACTCCCTACAAGGGGCCCGAACTCCCTACAAGGAGCTCGAACTCCCTACGAGGAGCCCGAACTCCCTACAAGGGGCCCGAACTCCCTAC